AGGCAGAGAGAGACGATAAACGCTTGAGTCTTAACTACCCATGATAAGGTATATGTGTTTGTGTGTGTGTGTGTGTGTGTGTGTGTGTGTGTGTGAACTGGACCAAGAACTAAGTGGCATGCGTTCGTCGGCTCGATTGGACTAATAGGTTATATCGGGCACTCCAAACACGCGTGCTCTGTTCGAAAAGCTTCGGATGATAACAGACTAGACACCAATGAGTTGTGAACTCAAAGCAACACCACACCACCTTGTGACTATTTAGCCAAAATGGTACAAAAACAGGAACTTCGAAGATCAGTTCACAATCCAACCTGATGCAAACCACAAAACGTCAAGAGTTTAGCTGAAGAAGTATGTGAACTGTGACTGATGAACTATGGTCACAGCTCATAATGTGCGGCAGTCATTAATTTGAAGTGCGAACTGAATGCTGGGGGGGGAAACAATTATCCTAGTTTCGGCTTAGTGGTGGTGGCACAGTGGTAAGTCGCTGCCACAGGTGTGCTTTGTACCCTATGGTCCGAGGTTCGAGCCCGGCCACCGGCACCCGACTTTGGTGGTAGGCAACTTTGCTGATGTCGGGTTCAATACCACACCTAACCTAATGGGGTATTATCTGGTTCACCACTCCAAGTCCCGGGGCTTAGGTTACCGGTTTCCATGACTGAACAGTAGGTTCTCGTGATTATGGGGCTTTCCCGTCTGCAATTCATCACACGAAAGTGTGTAATATAAAAAAGCCGATCCCTAGACACTAGGATTTGTGTATTGATTCGCATCTGAATGAGTCAAATTCGCGCACAAATATCTACAGCAATACGACAAAGTGAAAACCAATCGTAATTGTTGGAGTGGATCAATGTCATGCACTCATGTTGCTCGCTGTTGAACGCGCACTGCAACAACGATGGGCCCCTGACCGATTGCTTGAAACCAACATTTTTATCCGAACGGAGCGGTCGGAAAACACACGCGCACACATTGAGGAAGAGAAAACGGACAAGGAAAATTCAACCTGTTGGGTGCAAACGTACCACAAACAACGGCTT